AGTAATCCTGTAAACGTAAACAGAATATTTTATATAGATTTTTTTTAATGAAAACTTAAAATCCTGCATTATTTTCCGGACAACCCGATAAGTAAGCACACTCTTAGTATACACAATCTTTGAGGATTCTCATAGTTAAGAGATATTATAATGACAGTTGTCATTTGACCTTATTTTTTGTACTTAGTTGACAGTTGGAATCAACAGGTTGTTCATGCTCGTTTCATTACCTCCGCCGTCCAGCAAGGACAGACGGACCCCGGGTTAGCTTTGGTTTTGTAGCCACGTGTTGTTTTTTCCAGGTCTGAAGCCCCGTTGTGATGGAAAGATGAGCGCAGCCCCCTCGGACATATTCTGCTCCGTTCCTGGACGACTGAGTCTGCTCAGCTCCACTTCTAAATACAAGGTGACAGTCGGCGAGGTGCAAAGGAGGCTTTCGCCACCCGAATGCCTCAACGCTTCCCTCCTCGGCGGCGTCCTTAGGAGGTGAGTTCACTTTTCGATTTTATACTTTAAAACATTAATTAGTTAATTTTAAACAGACATAAAACCACTCCTGGTTCTACCACCAAATAACGAAGCATATGCCGTGTTTTCTCTTAAAACAATGAAAGTTCACGAAGTATAACTACACTGAGAGGCAAAAAAGTGGTACCATTTTTAAGCTTAAAATTTATTTGAGTGATGGTTTTAAGTGATTCGGCTAGTATAGCATTGTTGGAAGATGGAAAAAGTCAAGCGTATATTTTGGGAAGGTGCTTAACATTCCCAGAGCAACTGTCGGAAAGGGTCTTCCATCGCTACAAAAGTACTTATGTGTCAAGAAGACATGGATCATGTCGTCATCGTGTCACATCTCATAGATGACCGTTTTATTGTTTTGAATGTACTCCGTAAATAACATTCTACCGCTATTGAGATCAAGAAATGAATTCACCAAGATCGAAATTTTAATGTCAGTTTACGCACTGTGAGACGAAGACATTCGGGAGCTGGATTACGTGCGAGAAGACCTGCCACTGGTCCAGTACTTCTGACAACTTCACAGAACAAGTAGGTTAAGTTTCGCAATTGTTCAATTGGTCTGAGCAAGATTGGACTTAAATCTTGTTTTTATACTTACAAATGGGCCTTTTTTCCAAAAACACCGATACCCCGAAGGTTGATTTTGAGGGTTGTTTTCGGATTCAAGGTTTTATTTAAGGTCTTGTAAAGAGTAGTACGCACTGGTATTCCAGAATGGTCTCGCAATTTTGGTCTCGGACCTGGTCTAGCGATTGTACATAGACCGATTGGGTCGATTTTAGATGGTCTCGAGTCCATTCTGAGACAAAAATCGCGGAACATTGGTCTCTCAGCGGAAATGGGAGTCCTGAGACCAATATTAACATTAACATAGCAGGGGTGGACGCTTGGTATGTTGACGCTTGTTAACCGTTGACCAGTCCAGCAAGTGTACACCCCAACTCCACTCAATTCACGTGCTCTATCTTTTTGTGCATTTTTTTCGGTCCAACGAAAAAATGTTGCTCCTTGTAGAAGATACCACATTTCGTGTTTTGGGACGTTACTAACCCCGATTACAAAAATCGTTCTAGGAGCTACAATGGAAGAACTCGCCAAAAAACATGAAGTGTCCGTGGGTTATCTTAAAAAAATTTCATAATTTAAAAACCTGTTTTAATCGGGAGAGCAATAACGAGCAATAAGAATAAGAAAATCGCTACTTTCGTTTCTCACTGGTTTGCGCTTTCGTTTTCTGCTTCGATTTTCAAAAATGAAAACCAAGCAAGCGGAAATCCCAGTAGCATCTATGGTGTGGACGCATGACCAAGTCTGAACCTGGTTTTGAGTCCTGGTCTTCAGAGATTGTCTAGAAACTGTCTATGACAAGTTGAGTGACCCCGTCTACAAGTGTGTACTAGCCATTGGGGGTTTGTATAAGAACAAGAGAGCGATATATCCCCGCTACATTTTCTCACGGAGAAGCTATGGAGGTGATGGTGTTATGTTTTGGGCAAGCATTTCTATGGAAGGTCGCACAAACTTGGTCATCGTTGGTTCCCTAACAGCTGCGCGATTCATTTAAAATGTTATCAAAAATTGTTCCTTATGCACCACTAATTGGCAACAACGTTGGCTGTGTGTCACTCTCTAATTAATACGGCTTAATAAAAAATTATAACGATTGCAAGTATTTACTAAAAAACGGGGTGGCCACTTTTTTGCCTCTCAGTGAATTAAACTATTAGATTTCTTGTTGAGAACAGAGGGGTGCAAATATAGTCAAATCATATATATCATATATACCCATGCCTATCCTCGCTTGTTTTGGCTTAACGCGTTTGGGCATTTCGCCTTCTTCAGTGGTGGGTTATATGACAATATAAACCAAAAGATAGGGAATTGTCTTACTAACGCCAGCGAGATTAGACGGACCGGGAAACGACCAAACAAGTAAAACCTATTAGGTTGATATGGGGGTTGAAATAGAATTATGACAATCATTTCCTCCACTGCGAACTAGTAGGTCTATTGTGGAACTCCTATACGTTATAGGCACGCCTTGAAAAAGCACTTTCCTTGGTGCCTCTTCGTTGACCCCTTTTCGTGTGAGAAATGTCCTACCTAAGTAGCTGTGCCGTAACCGGGCTAATGCGTCACATTCACAAAGGGCATGTGCCAATGTCTTTGGTTTCTCTTGACAGAGTCGGCATGCTTCTACCTCTGCTCTGCCCATCTTCTTTAGATGATAGTTAAGAGGGAACTGGCCGGTAAAAGCTATAATTTTTCTCATTTGCTACCTGCTGAGAGAGAAAAGCTCTCTCGCCTTCCTTTTTGAGAGATTTATAAATCTCTTAGCTTGCTTCATGCATGGTGCGTTTGTATTGGAGTTTTTCTTTCTCAAACCAGTTTTCCAGTTTCAACTTAATTGCACTCTCCGGTGCACTTGGCTGTGGTTCTGGTTCCATGGTAAAAGGGTTGTCCTTTTTTTGGCTAGTCAATCGGCCTGTCCATTTCCTTCTATGCCTTCATGTCCGGGAACCCAAATTTAAGGTAATCTTGTTCCCAGTCATTGTGCATTTCAGGTACTTCCAGAAAAGTTTGGAGTTAAAAACAAACGCATTAATGGGTTTACAGCTGCCTAACTGTCAGTATATCGGTGCACCTTTCATATAATTTTCTTTATTAACTCCTGTGCAGAGAGTTTGATTGCATGGCATTCAGCTGGGGAAAATGTTGGGGGTAGTCCAAGAAGGTTTGCCAGGGTGTCAGCCCTTTGATCCCTACAACTACTTCCTGTTCCGTCAGTGTACCATTTTAGGGCCCTTCTTGAAATTGTGGGCCACCTTTCTTCCAAGGGCTTCTACTATCTATGACCACTTGAAAGGGTCTTCATAGTTGAGTTCTCCTCTTACTTTGTCGTGTACTTTGAATGTCAATTTGAGGAAGCTCAGCATCCTATCTTCCAGCCTAGGAATATCGCATCAATATTATCTTTTAGAATACATTTGTTGTCCGAAATTGTGTACATATTTTATGAGATATCTTCGTGAGATCTGCGGGACGATGAACCTATAATTCGGTTAATGATTATTTTGGTCTACCTATCCTCACTGGATTGGCCTGTCATACGCATTTCGGTTTCCCCATCTTATAAGTTACTCCTAGAATTGAAAGCGCTGTCTTCTCTAGTGCGTCGCTTACTCTTGAAAGTTGAGGGTTGTTAGGGGCCTAGAACTCTTCTGGTATCTGGAGAAACAGGAAGTATTTATGAATACTGGTTCCCACAGGCAACGACCTTAACGAGTGGAACAGCAGGGTAAGCACTAGAGTAGACCGGCACAGAGAATAGTTGAGAATATACGGTTCCTAACCTCTTGCGAAGGTGGAAGTCCTGTACCGACTAGACCGATATGGCCCGAGGTGAAAGTTCAGTCTCAAAAGAACCTCTTACCCTTCACATAGCATTGAGAACCACTGGGAGTAATTCTTATCTCCTCTTTGAAGCCAGCTAGTATAGGTTGACAAAAATAGCCGGTAACGGTACCTACCTAATGTGTATTTTTATTTTCTTATTTACTGTATGCATAATATGATATAAACATAATACTAGTTTTCATTTATTACGAGATTTCTCGATCAGTCTGTTGATGATGAACTTGTAGTTGAAACGCTTCCGATCATCCCGGTTCGTCTAACTTCGCCGTTCTGATCTGTCTCGCAAATTGCCCTATTTTTAGTGGTTTCGTTGTACGTTCGTTAAGAGTACAGACCATGAGAGTATGGAATTCTTCGTAGCATCCGACAAAACCAACGATGACAGGCGGACCGGGATTATCTAAAACAACTAAACTAGCAATTTTCCCTTATGTTTTTCTAAGTTTGTCTTATTCTTGTTTAGTAGACACGAGCATTTTTCTTCCATCTATTATTAGTAAGGCCAATTAGGCAGTTAAAAGGAATAGCACGCTATGTGGAGTGCGGAAATATCAGTGCATAAATACCATACTATAGTTTGGTCGTTTTTGGTCTTTCTGATACGCCCGTCCTTAACGGTTTGGTCTGTCAGAGCAACCCCTTTACATACAGTTATTATTTCTACTTTCTTCGATATGTTGATGTATTTTTATGTATATTTTCCAGGGCCAAATCCAAAAACGGTGGAAGGCTACTGAGGGAGAAGCTGGAAAACATTGGGCTTAATCTGCCTGCGGGACGGCGGAAAGCGGCCAACGTAACTCTCCTCACGTCCCTCGTCGAAGGTGAGCACACGATTGCCAGAAGATGCGATCAGCTTTTCAAACAAAAATAAATAAATAAACAAACAAAAAAACGAAACTTTCACCCGTGGACGACCACAAAATCCGTGCCGGGACTTTCTTGAAGGCGATGTCCAAAAGGATAGACAAAAGCCGTCGGCTCTCCGCCCGAAAAATAGACAAAAAGCCTCCCGGATAATTAAGCATTGATGCGTAGCTAACAAACTATTGAAAGAGGCATTGTTTTCTTTCAATCTTTTGTCGCCTGTTTAATCACGTCGGGAAATTGGATTCCGGGTTGAGAAACGGACCCCGATGTCTTATTCAATCCGCCCTCTTTACACGTGAATTTTCAATTAGGTATACTTTTCCACGAAGTCAAGACGTTATATTATGTTCAGGCAGAAAATAAGTTATATGTATTTTTACTTTTCCTTGCTCTCTCTACCCACTTCCTCTGCCTTTTTACTCTCGTCAGGAGGACGTTCCAGTCCCATTTGCCTATCCAGCGTTGCCAAGCTTTTCGTGTTCGAAATGAGTTTTACTTTCTTCGTAGGGATAAAATTTATCATTAATGGACAAGCCTTTCGAAGGCATCTTGGATCTGACTCCGTGAAAACAGCTACTCGGAGCCTGTTTGACGTATGAAAAATCGACAAAAATAAACAGAAATGATCTGTTGAATGATCTTTCACTCCGAAGGGTTGTCACTCCCCGATGTACAGGCCTTAGAGTCTAACATCAGGGAGTTCACCCACCCCGTTATGTGGCTGGGTCGCTATTACCCCCATTAAGCCAAATGCCCAGGAGATAGTCGCTTCCCCAACTACTTACTACATAAATTGGATATATCACTCGCACAAATAAATACATTCATACATTGCACTCATTCTGATTAGTCGGCGGAGTACTATTACTATTCCTTCATCGACCTATACATAGTATTAATCTAATCTAAATTACGGTCGATGAGTGGTGTACAAGACGGGCATTCAGTTACTAATATCAAATACTCAGACACATGGGCATGTGAACATTGCTTTCACGCGATGCGAGATTCTGAAAGGAGGAAACATGAAATTCAGACGGCATATTAGCCTTGAATATCAGTTCTGAATGCAAAGCCGAACTAAAATCAGTGGAAATTGCATTTCAAGAGATGCTTTACTGCTGGCAGGAAGCTTTCTGGAGTTTAAATAATGCGGATAAAATGAGAAGTATCGGGTTGTCCGGAAAATAATGCAGGATTTTGGTATTAAACAAAAAAAAAGAAACTAGTTACTTTAAAGCAATGTTCTTTAATCAAAATAATTTCCCATACTCTCAA